ATACAATCATTATATCCTTGCAAGGTTTTTTACTAATTGGATTGTTCCATTTAGAAAATTCCATTCATTAATATCTTTATATTCCTTTGATACCATAATCGACCCAGAAGAATCAAAATCTAATACATCACATAATTCAATTTATTTAACAGGTTTATCAATTAATATTCTTATTTATTATAATTAAGTTATTAATGAAAAAACTATTTGTTTATTCCTAATATTCACTTTGAGTAAATTTCTAAGTACATAATCCTAAATTTGATAATAGTTCTTTGCAATTTGTATATTCTAAAAATGTATTAAATTATTCTAATTTACGATGTTGGAAGTTCAGCAGTGAACTATTTTAAAATTTCAAAATTTATTAAGATAATTTAGCATCAGCTTTATTTTATTTTTAAAGCATAATTTATCTTTTCTCTTAAAATCTATAACGGCATTATATGATCCAATCATAGATTACAATTCATTCATTCATTTTTGTAATCATTTGTCAAATTATTAGATCACAAGTGATTTCATTTAGCTGATTATTAAATATTCTACTTTTCCATCCTTTTTATCGAACCTTCTTCAATTATTCAACTCATTTTCTTTTAACCAACTACTCTGGCATCTATGTCTACATTCTCTAAATATTCTGTACATAAAATTTTTCATCCATTGATAGTTTTGGATCAAGTGCGATCGTAACTAATCAATATCTACATTAAAATAATACAAAGAAAAAATTCGCCCTAAATATCCTTCCTTGTTACAATTCTTCACTCAAAAATATCAAAAGAAAAGCATATAAAGAAATTTTCAGAATTTGAAGAATGTTCTACAGAAAGGAACTGGGTAGCCTTAAGAAGGAAATTATGAAATAAATTTTCAAAATTTAACAATATAGCCATAATTTATAAAGGACAAGAAAATTCTGTTGACCCAAAATTCCTTCATGCAGGCTTGTAGTAAACCATAGAAATGCTAACATTAGAATAATGCAAAAATAAACTCTCCTCTTTGATAATGATTAGATTTTTTCATAGTCAAGTATAAGAAATTAAAATATTCATAATATCAAGAAACAGACTGTTTTACTCATCCTTATGTGTACTATCCAATTATCTTTATTGTGATCTTAGAAATCAAGAAAATCTTCATTAAGCAGTGTTAAAATATAGACCTCAAAGATTAAATTTACGATATAGATAATAGCATTATCATAATATGATTAATTATTTCAATTAGAGAGTATTATGCTTGGTTTAAAGAAATAGCATTCCTATTGAAGTCATCTTTGAGGCATTAAGAGATATACAATAGGAGCTCACCACATCCATGTAACTGCCTCAGGGATACTCTTTAAAATAATTTCTGTGTTACGAACTTTTTAGTTTGTTATCATGATTCCCTAGAATCCATTCTTATTATCAAAATCCAAAATATTATTCATTAAATTTTTTTTCTTTTTCCTCCACGGTAACTTAACATAGTTCGACTTTTCTAGGTTTATATTTGTTAACCGCTCAATTCCTAATGTTAACTCTTGCTACATCCGCGTCATCTGTTGCGTTTAAACGTCGCTTCAGAAAGGTTTCTTGTTCTCTTTACTCTCTGATAATTAATCCTCCTCCTAGAAATCTGGCCCTGGCTAGGGATAAATATAGGCCGTCCAAGTCTTATCTGTATGTTTTATCCTTCTATGTATGGACATAGTTGTCTTCAACCATAGTTAGGATATCTATTTTTTGACATTGATGCATTCCGTTAATAAAAGTTAATTTAAATTTTTAATAATAATAATAAAATAAATTTAATGGAAATTGTCGAAAAGAAATAAATTTGTATATTTTTGAACTACAAATAACAAGTTAATCAATCATAATATTTCTTCGTATCTAAAAGTTTCATGGTTTCCTTGCTGTACTTGGCTTGCATAAACATCTGCCACTAGGTTGAGAGACGGGTCTTTATTTGTGCATAACCAAAAGCGGGGTGTAGGTTTGAGTTATTTAGTTTATATTAATTGAAATTATATCATACCATTAAATGGCAAGATTTTGACTTTTCTTTTTATTGCTAAATATATTCTTACTTGTTGCAATTAATCATTTCTGTCCTTTCGTTTTTCAAATGCTCTACTAAGTTTTAGAGTATTTTCATTTATCTAAATGTTAATGGATTAATTTTTTACTCTTCAGAATTATTTGAAGATATAACTTAATTGCTAGTTCATTAGAAAGAGATTGGAAACCAAAAGCGAAGAATGATAGCACAAGCAGATTATAGCAATATTGGATAAGAAGTTCTATAAGTATTGAAATTCTCAAATAAATGGTTGAAAAAATTGGTGGATACTAAAATCAAAATTTAACTTAATTTTATGAACCTTATTGTATTTATTAAATGAGCCTTCCGCTAGGACTAAGATAAGAATGTATTTAGATTTATCAAATGGTTTTCAATATTTACTGAAATAAATCCCCCATTGATCAAGCAAAAAATGAGTTACGACAAAAATTTTGAAAGCAAATCTGCAATTGGTAAAAGAAGTAACAATAAATGTACTCAAATCTTGGCAAAGTCTCATTAATTTAGGAGATGAAGGACAGGTTCTAAATCATTAATAAAGGTTAATACAACAAATCAAATCAGCAATCAAAATTCTATTTATGATATTTTGAGGTCATAATTATATTTAGGAAATAAATAGAATGATGGAGTTAAGGTTCCTAATAGATAATCATAATAAATGGATAATTGGAGAGTAAAAAATCAATAATTTACTCATTTTCTTGATAAAAAATCCTCATTTTTCGCGCAAACTCATCTGTAATCAAATATTCAAGTATGAATTGTGTATAATTTATTTTGGATATGGTAAGAATAGCGTACTACTATATAATAACTGTTAAAAATTACAGAGATTTACTGACCTTCGATGAAGATAATAATTAATAGGTAGGTGGTTATCTAAGATTAAAAAGTGCCAGAAAATGCCTCTGATTATATTTATACTGTTATTAAATGAATTAATTTTCAATCAGGGTTTTATGAAACAAAATACTCTTATATTCAGCAGAATTTTATTTTCATAAAACAATAAATCTCACTTTCAGCATGATTTTATTTACATAAGTACTTGCTAAAAATAAGTGAGAAGAACACAATTCTAAAGACAAATCTTTTCAGAAGAATTTATTAGTCATAAATGTACATTCTAGCTAATTTTATAATAAGCCCTCAATATTTGAACAGTCAACTAGTTGATTTCTGAGATTAGTATAATATTTTCGAGATTATATTTTAATCATGTCTTGAACAACAATCTCAATACAAATATCTATGTTACAAATAATCTCAATCATTTATCAAAAAAACAAAAATTCTTATATAATGAATTTTATGAAGGCACTAAGTTTGATTAAATTTTGCAATTTAAATTTGGGATTTTTTGAATATGAAAAAATAATACAAAAATTATTTCTCTTAGATTTAATGGATATCTTTAAATGTAAATATCTAAAACATGAAAATGAAGAAATTATTGGATTTTGTTTGAATCAGAAATGTTCTGGTGCAACACAATATTGTTATAAATGTTTAAATTCTACTCATTCAGCCCATTTTAATGATTGTATTAGATTCGCAGAAATTATCAAAATTATTAATGAATCCATACAAGTTTACAATCAATTAAGATAATAATTGAAAGAAATCACTAAACAACTAGAGAACTTATTGGAAGAGACTTTTAAAAAAATGGATTAGGAAATTAAAACTTTAGAAAATATGGCCCAATAACTAATAAACATGGACTATTTAACTTTTAAGTCATAAATCCATATACTTATAGAGTTTTACTCTAAGGAAAACGAAAATTACAGATGTATCCAATCTTTAGTTATATTAGAAAAACAATTAACATAATTGAATAACATTCATAAAGCAATTTAGAATATGGTATCAGTCTAAACTCAAAAAGATACTTAATTTAATTCTAATGGCCATAAAAATGCTATTATAATAGTAGAAATTAATTAGTAAACTGATTCTCAGTAGTCTTTCAATATGTAAGAGGTTTCACAATTAGTAAATGAAGGTAGAATATTTTTCATTTGATCTTAGGAGTGGCTTTAAGAAAAATAAATAAATATTAAGAAGCTATTGAATAATTTGACAAAGCTATTTCCATCAATCCAAAATATTATTCTGCTTATTATAATAAGGGTAATTAACCGTTATACTTTATTATTTAGGTCTTGCATTAAACAATTTTTAAAAATATTAAGAAGCTATTGAATGCTACGACAAAGTTATTTCCAATCATCCAAAAGACTATGATGCTTGGAATAATAAGGGTAAATAAAATTGTTCGACATTATATTTTAGGTTTTGCTTTTTCTATTCCTTTGATAGCATTAGAGTTCTAAGAAAATTAAATAAATATTAAGAAGCAATTAATTGTTATGACAATGCTATTTCTATTAATCCAAATGGTGATGATGTTTGGAATAATAAAGGTAATCAACTGCTAGACATTGTTATTTAGGTTATGCATTATTACATTTAAATAAATATTAAGAAGCAATTAAATGCTACGACAAAGCTATTTCCATTAATCCAAAGTTTGATGCTGCATGGAATAATAAGGGTATTTAACACTTTGACATTATTATTTAGCCATTGCATTAAAACATTTAAATAAATATTACGAAGCTATTGAATGTTACGACAAAGCTATTTCCATCACTCCAAAATTTGATGCTATATGGAATAATAAGGGTAATCAACTGTTAGACATTATTAATTAGGCATGGCACTAAAAAAATTAAATAAATATTAAGAAGCTATTGAATGCTACGACAAAGCTATTTCCATTAATCCAAATGATGATGATGCTTGGAATAATAAGGGTAATAAATTGTTCGACATTATTTTTTAGGTTCTGCTTTATTCAATTTAAATAAATATCAAGAAGCAATTAAATGCTTTGACAAAGCTATTTCCATAAATCCAAACGATGATGCTGTATGGAGTAATAAAGGTAAATTTTTTTATGATTAAGGCTTGGCACTACATATGTTAAAGAAATATAAAGATGCTATCTTTTGTTATGATAAAGCTCTAGCCTTTAACATTACTTCTCTTAGATTACAACGAAAAGGTACATTGTTTTAACTTTAATTTATTTTCAGCTGATTCTCTATTAGAATTAGGGAACAAATATGAAGCTAAGCAGAATTATCTGGAAGCATTGCAAAAAGGATCAAACGAGAAGAATTATATACAGAAATAACTATCAAAGTTATGAAACAACATCAAATACCTAATTATTAAACAATCATTTTCTGTATTAAATTTTCCTTTCGATAGTTTATATTTATATTATCTTAGCGAGTGAATTATAGATCTTAATAAGATACAATTCTTAATAAAAGTTCAATAGAAATTAATATGGGACTAATATGAATTTGTAAATGTGAAATATATGAAAATTGTAGTGCTTTTGGTTATACTTTANTTATACTTTATTATTTAGGTCTTGCATTAAACAATTTTTAAAAATATTAAGAAGCTATTGAATGCTACGACAAAGTTATTTCCAATCATCCAAAAGACTATGATGCTTGGAATAATAAGGGTAAATAAAATTGTTCGACATTATATTTTAGGTTTTGCTTTTTCTATTCCTTTGATAGCATTAGAGTTCTAAGAAAATTAAATAAATATTAAGAAGCAATTAATTGTTATGACAATGCTATTTCTATTAATCCAAATGGTGATGATGTTTGGAATAATAAAGGTAATCAACTGCTAGACATTGTTATTTAGGTTATGCATTATTACATTTAAATAAATATTAAGAAGCAATTAAATGCTACGACAAAGCTATTTCCATTAATCCAAAGTTTGATGCTGCATGGAATAATAAGGGTATTTAACACTTTGACATTATTATTTAGCCATTGCATTAAAACATTTAAATAAATATTACGAAGCTATTGAATGTTACGACAAAGCTATTTCCATCACTCCAAAATTTGATGCTATATGGAATAATAAGGGTAATCAACTGTTAGACATTATTAATTAGGCATGGCACTAAAAAAATTAAATAAATATTAAGAAGCTATTGAATGCTACGACAAAGCTATTTCCATTAATCCAAATGATGATGATGCTTGGAATAATAAGGGTAATAAATTGTTCGACATTATTTTTTAGGTTCTGCTTTATTCAATTTAAATAAATATCAAGAAGCAATTAAATGCTTTGACAAAGCTATTTCCATAAATCCAAACGATGATGCTGTATGGAGTAATAAAGGTAAATTTTTTTATGATTAAGGCTTGGCACTACATATGTTAAAGAAATATAAAGATGCTATCTTTTGTTATGATAAAGCTCTAGCCTTTAACATTACTTCTCTTAGATTACAACGAAAAGGTACATTGTTTTAACTTTAATTTATTTTCAGCTGATTCTCTATTAGAATTAGGGAACAAATATGAAGCTAAGCAGAATTATCTGGAAGCATTGCAAAAAGGATCAAACGAGAAGAATTATATACAGAAATAACTATCAAAGTTATGAAACAAACGTCATATTATAAATATCTAATTAGGATATAAATATTTTTTTAATAAAACTTCTATTCTTATAGTCTCTGTTCGAGATGATCTTTATGAATATTTTATGCTTAATCAAATATTAAAAAATATTAATTGGTATTTTCTTAATAAAAAATAGATTGGCTTTAGAGATTCTTTAATTCTTTATTTATTAAAAAGGATAATTTATTACTAATTAAAATATTTTGTTTGATATAAACCGTAAATGAAATTATATAAATTAAAATCAAATGCATATTTACCCGATACCAACAGTTTTGAATCCAATAAATATATATTCATTATAAGATAAATATGCAATAGTTTTTATTTAATTTATATTCATTCATTGGCTATCATCATTTATATGAATTCAGTTATTGAATCTAGGTGGTTCAAATAACTATGTTGGCAATAAAAATGGATTCAAATCAAATTAATCTTAGATTAAGTTTATTTAAGGTAAAGATGTTATTTGATATTATTTTGGATTCTAATATCATCATGCTAATTTTTTCAGAGTTCATATTTTTCTACATATCAATCTCATCTTTGATAATTATGATGTAATAAATATAAAATACGGAATCAACAATTGAGAAGAATATCAAGGGTTGATAATTTATTCTCTTACATATTCTTTTAAAAATTTTGACCATTAAAGATTTTATTTCTAAATAATTAAATTAAAAACTCTAAAGATATTGGCAACTGCAATGGCAAAGCATATAATAATTAAAGTAATATTTTTGATTTGGGTATTTACTATTTAAATAGAAAATGAAGATCAGGTTAGATAACACTGATCTACATTTACTATTTCAACAAAAAGTAATTTTCGAAGTCCCCTTCATGTAATTTATAAGTTGAAATAATTAATAAAAAAATAGGTGAATTTAAAACTATATATTGCAGAAATTGGCAGTTATCAAAATAGAGGAAAAGCAATTTTTAATAATTGTTTCATATAGTTCTCAAGTAATTATAAGTTAATCAATTATTTAGATTAGATTTTTTCTTATTCCAAATTAGCAAGAAATTTTTCTTTATCTTTTAATCCAATTAGGGAAAAAATCTAAAAATTAACTTTTCAATCCCTTGAAGAATAGTGGGTACCTGAACTTAGAGAAATTAAGCTATCAGATGTATCTTTTTACAAATAATAACTGGCCATGATCTTTCCTTTAATACAAGGCAAAACGACTTTCAAAGGTTAAACCTATTCTGAATGAAAAACATTATTTATATATTTTAAAGGGAATTGATATTGATTGGTTGGAAATTTGAACTTATTTCAATCCATGTCAAAAGTATATACCAAAAAAAAAAATTAGAACCTTCAAATAATTCTCATGAAGTGACAATTCAAATGCTGTATATAAAATTCTTCTAATTTAATTCAAAGAAGCTGCAATAATAGGAGTAGCGAATAAGATTTGTTCGTAAATGCTCTTAATTATTTTAATTATTTTTTTAATGATAAATCTATTATTCCTTCAAAATTAATTTAGCAAATATTGTTTATTATCATTCTAGATATAACATTTTCACCAATCTCTATGAATCATTTTTGTTATAAGGTAAATAATGGAAATAATTATAAAATATTTGTGGATTAATATCATTTTATAAGGTAAAAATATTTCTAGGACAAGCTTAAGAGAGAAATAAATGTTGTTTTTTGATCTTCAGCATTACTTATTTTAAAGATTTATTAAATATCATAAATTTGAAGTTATTTCAAAAATAATTGTTCTATTGATGATTCGGCAGATTTTTTTACAGGACTAGACCATTATGGGTCACTATCTAGGCTTTAAGGTTTGTGAAAGCCAAAATGTTATGTTTATATATCCAAGCAAATAGAAGTTTAATAAGCATTTGTAGTTTCTCTCCTACAATGCTTCCTCTCTAAAGACAATGGAATGATTGAGAACTACATTTTCCATTCAGCTTATATTGTATATGTTAGAATCGATGGATGAAAGGTGATAGTTTCTATACAGCGATTGTAGAGTTTAGAACTAATAAGATTATTTTTCTTGTTTAGAATTGCTAAACTTGTGGTTTGTATTAGGCTAAGTAAAGTTATTAGTTTGTAGGATTGGCAGTGAGTCTAAAGGCAACATTTTTAAATTCAGTAATTAATTCCTTTTGTTCAAAGATCAGTCTTTAATCCTGAAAACTTAGGGAACTTTAGTGATAATGAATAGTTCCCTTCCATTAAGATTCTTGTTGTTTTGGTTATGAAATGGAAAGGATAATAGCAATTATCGTGGTATGTACTATTTGAATTCTATCTATGACTTAATGGTTTAAGTGAGCTTCCTTTTCATAGAAAAATTTAACATATTTTAAGCTTTGTGATTTCAGAAATCAATTATGATGAAACAATTAGTAAATCTTTGCTTTTATTTAGCACTGGAAATCGGCTTAGTATATTGCTTTTATGTACAAGCTGTCTATTTTATTGAGCGCAATAAATAAATAAACAGAAAAGGATGGTTAGAATTTCTTCATACCTAATTAACTTTCTGTGTGGAGGATGATTTATGGAAAGCTGCCAGAACCATTAAGGATATTCTCTAAGATTATACAGTAATTGTAGGCCGTATTTTAAGTGGGTAAGTATATTTATAATAAAAGTTTACCTGCGATTGTTTCCTTTTGTTAATTTTTGATACTCTCATAAGTAAGATAAAATAGTTGATGTAATACAATGTTTGTATTTGGGCGTTTATTTAATTAGTTATTTTTAAAAATAAAAATAACTTGAAGGCCTATCATAAATTATGTTGTTAATTTCTAAAGGAACAGAAAAAGGAAGGGTCTCAAATATTCAAGAATGTTAGTTTTTGGAGATTTAATTTTAGTTTTATCTACATTTATGATCCTGTGAATGAAAAGAAAGTTTAATTTATTATTAAGTGTATTCAGATACTTCTTTTAGTCTTAACTTATTTGATATCTATTTTAATTTATTTTTCAGATATTATCTGCATGATATCGATTACTTTAGTAAAGTGAAATGTCTAGGTAGTAGAGAAGCGTTAGAATATAAGTTTGCAACCTAAATTTTGGAAAATTCTATAAATTAGTCTATACAAAGTAATTTAGTAAATTTTTAGAATTGTAGCTAAATGATGGCAATAGGAAGCTCTATTTTAAAGATAGTCACAGAAGACATTCATCTTGAATTTAAATAAAATATTAGATTGATAATCCTGAGTTATCAAACACACTAATGATAAGTCACATTATTTGACTTATTTAAATATGTGTATCTAGTGTCTGAATAATTAAAGTTATTTAATTTTTTATGATTGCAAATTAAATTAGATTCTATTTCTATCAACCTATTCTCAAGTATGTACAAAAAATAGCACACTATGAAGTTAATAATTAATAAAAATTTTAACAATTAGAGAGTTTTAGTTAAGCTAAATAGAATCTTATGATAACATCTATTTTTTCTTTCGCTAGGTGGCACCCTATTCTTTGATGTTCAATACTTTCAACAAGGAGATATTTTTCCTTTTTCATGTAAAAAAGAATCTACCCAAGAAATATTAGTTCTACTATTATTATATTTATACATAATACTTTCCTCCTCGTTTATTATTAATCTAGCTATTCAACAATTATATCAAGTTTTTTATTAATATATGCCCCTTGGGTTTAATTGATTGAAAATTCTGCAATAAGGTTTTCTAGTTACAATTTTGTATATCACCTTCAGATATACAATTTTGAGGAAATAATCTTAGGAATCATTGTTAGTACAGATTCGATGGTTGTGTAAGGCAATGATATTGTAATAAAATTTTAAGAATATCAGCAGGGACTACTTTTAAATTTCAAAGAATTTATTAAAATGAAAAAACTTCAATAAACTTTTTATAGGGAAAAATATTTTTGTATTAAAATTGGATGAAATTTTCAATAATATTTCTTTAAGAAAGGAGATGATACCTTGGGATGATTATTTTCTTTCCTTCCAACTAAATATTATCATAATCTAAGCTGGCTGTTGCAAAGAATTATTTAAAGGAATATTGAAATATTGATTTAGTTCTCCTTATAATGTATTAGAGTGATTTTTATAATTTTCTATTATATTTAAATAATCTAGTAAATTTGAGAGATAGGAAGTTTTGTTTTGATGCTCAATGGCAATGGTCCAATTTGCATTATGATAAGGGCTGTTTTATGCCAAAATCTGTAGACTCTGTAGAAGAAATACAAAATGACTATGAGAAGAAATATATCAAAATATGAGTACATCCTAATTTAGCCATTTATCTACAATTTATAGAATAATGAAGTAATCTATAAAGAGAAACGGTAACGCTATTAAAGAGTTAATGCTTGCTTAATTTTCTCATATGCTGAATCCTTATAAAAAATTGAGTAATAAGCTTAATTGAAATAGTTCTTGATTACTTGAATTGATAATACTGTTTATTTCATAATATTATTTTAGCATTATTATCAAACTATATAAATTAATTCATTTTGGTATTTTGCTAAATTACAGAATTTTCTTCTTTTATAATAATTTATGGAGAAATAGCCATAATAAATTTCAATTTTCTGATTTTGGTCTTGAAATATCCAAATCTTACAGCAATTTTCCAAATCTTTGTATATTATCTGGTACATTTTACAAAAAGGACAAAGAGTTAATGTATCTTTGCATTAGAGAAGAACAAAGAATTTTTGAAATTATATTAAATTCAATATTATTAAACCATTTTAATAAGAATGGTTCTATATCTTAAAAATTTAACCCTAAAATTTGAAATTTTAACGTATTGGATAATCATTAAATCAGGTAGTATTGGAACATTTAGCTAATTAACTGAAAATAATATAATGTTAATCCGATATAAATGAATAGTATATTCATAAGGGGAATAGAGCATTTTTTACTTTAATCTTATTATTGTGATAATTTTAAACATATTCTCTTGAATTATTTAT